TTACAAAATAACGTTGCTTATCGGAACGCTCTGAGCGTTGCCGCTGAAAAGTCGCTTTTCGTACAAAAACACCCCTGCCGTTTGTTGTTGCTGTATCGCATCGGGGTGAATTAACATTTCCAAGTAATGATGCTTATGCTAAAAGGTAAACAAAGGAAAAAAGTAATTTATTTCTTAAAATTCATCAATTTGTTTGATGTAAATTTATTTATTTTAGGTACATAGCAAGGTGAAAGTTTCGTGAAGATTTGAGAACTCGACACTAGGGCATTATTGATGGAATTCAATAGCTTCATATTTGTACTGTACCCTAGATTAGCATCTTAGTTGCAGTGAAAAATATACCACATATATCGCTGCATAAATATTTACATACATATATATATCACACCGAATAAAAGAAAAAGTATACTTAAATTATAAAATAATTCAATTCTATTGCAAAACGTATACAAATTCACGCTTTTAAGTGTTGCCGGAAAAAATTTCGTTTGGAGCTAAATCGGTCAAAAAAAGAGCTTAATAATACTATTAGTAACTTCAATGAAGAGCTAACTTTGACGTAGAATACGTCTTACATACGTTTCGATATGGAGGCTATGCTGAAATGTTGTAGTTGTAATTTTTAGAGCTTAACGAAAACGCTTATTGCACGAGAATTAACGAAGCGGTATCAAAGAAAAGTGTGGCGTTTCAAAGATAAAATTCCAAACCTATCGACAGATTCATTTTTGTAAGTAACCAGTTCGGTTTCTGTCGTAAAAAGAACGGTAAACATTGGCTAATTTTGGGGTCAACTTAAGTGCTCCAGCAGCTTATGATTTGCAGATATAACTTTCATTTTCGGGATATAGATTCTCTGGAGCAATAGAAATATTATCGTGTACAAATTTTATATAAATTCAACAAATATTGAGCATTTTAAGGCAAAAAATTGTTGAAAAAAATTTGCAATTTATTTTATTACCACAGTGCTCGAAAACCGCTCGAATGATTTTGTTTTTGTTTTCTTTGATCAAAAATTCAAGAGCTTCCCTTTCGTTTGGTATATGGGAAGTATTGGTTGATATCTTCTAAGTATGTTTATTTTATTCAAATATATGGGCATAAATGATTTCCCGTATAAAATCACTTCGTCATCGTTTTGCAAACACGTGCATGCGCTGGAGTGAGGGAAGGAGGCAAAATGATTTTCCTTTTTGGTTGTTGTTTCCGACAAGGTGGGTGTAAGATGTATTTTGGAATGAATTTCCGTCATCCCTTGTCAAATTTGGTTTGGAGACAAACCGGTTTTGGCGTTGTGCCATCTTCAGTGTCATTTTTCGGTCTGGATAATTTTTGTTGGTTGCTCGTATTTATACTCCTTGTTAACTACCTCTTTCTTTTGTTAAGTACGTTTTCTTAGTTTTGCAGTATTTGCAGTGCTGAATAGGTAGATGAATTTTTCGGGCTTGTTTTTGCTGGTAGGTAGAAGTCAGTGATTTTTACCTTCTTTGTTTTTGTATTTAGTGTATTCCCTTCTATGTCTATCCTTAATATTTTGTTGTTCTCATTTTTCTTTTCGTACAGTAGTTTTAGAGGTTCAAACGGTACGTCCGATACAGTATTTATTTGCTGATTTATTATTTGTCCTTTGAAGGTCTTCTGTTTATATATTTACATATTTTCTCATATATTTAATCTTTGTCCTTTATGTTCTACACCGAGAAGTTTTGTTTGTACAATCAATCTTCATTGGTGCGCATTTATTTTTGATCATGTCATTTGCGAAGTTTGATTCTGTTGTAGCATCTGGTTTACGTTTTTTCTTATTATAATCCCTTATGTGTTCTCGATACCTTGTTCTTATATTTCATCCTGTTTCTCCTATGTAGCTGTATCGGCACTCGCAGGTTAACTTGTAAACGCCCTGTTTATCTAGTGGGTCTTCCTGGCTAATTTTCTCTTTCAATATTCCTCCCATAGTGTTTCTTGTTTTAAATGATGTCTGCACTGAAAATAAAATCTGCGTAAATATAACGAAAACTTGCGTAAATCTTACGAAATTTTTCGTCATTTTGAGCCACAAAAGTTTTCGTTGATTGTACAAAACCGTTTTCGTACATACTACGAAATTATGAAGCATCAGATCTTTAGTACATTTTACGAATGTATTCGTACTATTTACTAAAGAATTTAGTACCATTTACTAAAGAATTTAGTACTATTTACTAAAGAATTTCGTGCTATTTCTTAGTTTTTTACGAAATTTTTGTAAAATGCACAGAAATAATTCGTATATTTAACGAAATTATTTTCGTAAAATCTGCGCTTGTTTCGTAGAATGTCCGATTGCTTTCATTCTCCACACTGTAAAAAACATATAACGAATTATAAAACAACACTTTAATTTTGGTTTTATCGTTAATCTTAAGCGTTTTTGTTTAACAAAACGTTTTTAAAAACGCTTAACATTAATGATTAAAATATTATGATAGTGTTGTGCTATAATTTTAGTCATGTTTTTTAGTGTTAATAACACTATGCGACAGTCAAAATCGGGATGTTATACGTGTCCCGGCGTTTCGCTAGGTCACGTCTAGGAATCGAGATATATATATAACTATCATATAGGGGAAATTGTCACCTTTGGTGGTCTTTTTTTGACATAACTCGAGAACCACTAGTCCGATTTTGCTCAAACAAATTTAAAAAAATTAAAAATTACAATTCCTTTAATCTGTTCATATAACGTTTTTCTATATAATCAACAGTTTTGCCGGTAAAAATAAATGTATGAAGAAAAAAAATATTTTTTGCCTAAAATATAACATTTTTTTAAAACTGTTGATTATATAGAAAAACGTTATATGCACAGATTAAAGGAATTGTAATTTTTAATTTTTTTAAATTTGTTTGAGCAAAATCGGACTAGTGGTTCTCGAGTTATGTCAAAAAAAGACCACCAAAGGTGACAATTTCCCCTATATGATAGTTATATATATATCTCGATTCCTAGACGTGACCCAGCGAAACGCCGGGACACGTATAACCTCTTTTTTACCGATATAACTTTCCCCGGTAGTTTGAACCCTTCCCGATCACTGACCCCTACCATTTGTCTCACAGTGTAATAAAAGCAATCATACGTTCTACGAAAGAAGAAGAATTTTCTAACTATACTGTAGTTAAGAATTAATAAAAAAGGTTATTTTACCTATAATAAAACTTAAGTCTTTTATTTATATGCATACGAATAGGTTCTATACTACATATTTTTTATTGCTTAGGCTTCATTCAATAAAGTATATTGATGCAAAGTGTTAAACTATGAGACTCAACAAAACTAAATATAATAAGATATAAAATATGAAAGAATATAAAAAATACTGGTTTTACTTTCTTAAACATTATAATATTTTTATGTAGAGGCACTTGACAGATTCGCAGCTTTATCGATGTTTGTTTCCTTGACGACTATAAATTAAAGGAAAATTGTAAGGCGTCTGAAAAGCAAGTTTCAGTGAAAAGTCATACATGTACTTACTTTTAATTTCATCAAGTAGTGCTCCTGGCTTAGGCTTGCCGTTGATAGGTAACTGATAAAATTGCCTATTTATTAAGTCTCACATTGCAGCGCAAGGCGCAGCGTAGGCGATGTTAAAAACATTGTATGCTTAAAAGCATAGTATATCCACAGCTTTAATATTTAATTTTGTATTGTGTTTTTATCCAGCAAATCCCTTTTTAAAACGTTTAAAATTATATTATACGTCTCACAGCAGCCAACAAGTAATTCCGCAATGACACGCCTTACATAAAAATATGATGACATATTAAACTGCCGGTAATTGAGTATATTGTACGAAAATATTCGTATGTTGTACGAATTTAAAAAACATGTTTCTGCATTAGTACTTTATACGAAAGTATTAACTAAATTGTACGAATACAGAGATGTAGATTTCGTAAATTTTAAAACCATACGTAAATATTACGAATGCCTTCCTACAATATACAAAATTATTCATGCAGAGATTTGTTCAATGCTTTACGAATGTGTTTCGTAAAATAAACGTAAGATTTCTTAAATTGTACTGAAAAAATGCCTTACGAAAGTCCTTTCGTTATATATACGTATGGTTCGTAAAATCTTGTTTCGTTGTGAAAAATGTGTTCGTACTATGAACGAAAGTTTCGTTTATTTTCAGTGTGAATGTCGTACTTATGAAAGAATTTGGCAAGTTTATACGATGTCTTTCCCGTGTAAGTTAGAACTGCCCAAGTTTTTTTTTATTGTTTTCCCCTTTTCTGCCCTTTTTCGATTTTGTGTCCTTTCTTAACTTTTCAACCAGGCCTCTCTTATATCCGTTATTTTGCTCAATGGCATATATTGTATTCAGTTCATTCTTGTAGTCTTTTTCTGTTAGACGGGTCGTTTCAAGCCTCGTTATTAGTTGTCTAAGTGCTGCTTTTTTTGTTTTGCTGTGGATGGTTCGAGCTGTTGTAATCGAAAATTTGAAATTTTTGTATAGAAAATGATAGGAAAATTTCATGCTTTTCGATTCGTACGAAAACAAGAATACGTTCCATTATACCTGTGGCTGTTGGTTTTCTGTATATTTCGAACTCTATCTTGCTCGTGGTATTGTTTATTTTAATTGTTAAATCCAGATAGTTAATCTTTCTTTCCTCTTCCATTTCCATAGTGAATTTTATATTCTGGTGTTGTTTGAGATAGTCGAGTATCTGCTTATCTTTGTTTCCCTCTATTAGATATATTACATCATCGACATATCTCGCGTAGAATTTTACTCCTAGGTTGGTGGAAAGGTTTTCCATATATTTCTCCTCTAGTGTTTGCAGGAATACTTCCATGAGTATTGCTGACGTCGGATTACCCATTCCTAACCCTTTCGTATGTTTATATATCTTATTATTGAACCGGAAGTAGTTCTGTTTTAATGTAACCTTAAATGCGTTTACTATTTCCGTAGCAGCTGCTCTTTTCATTTTTTCAATCAGTATTTCTTGTACGGTCTTTATGGTTTCTATTGTTGGTATCGATGGGTAAAGGTCCTCGATGTCGAATGATACGAATTTAGTGTTTTTGTTGATCTTCAACGATTTCATCTTTTCGATTAGTTCTGCTGTATTCGTGATGGTGTATTTATTGCGTAGCTCCAGGTTATCCTTCAGCAGCGTCTTTAGGCGTCCGGCAGTAGATTTGTAGTTAATGATAGGTCTCATCGGATTGCCTGGTTTGTGTATCTTCGGCAAGACAATCAAAAAAAGGAGACAAAAAGTATGTATGTGTGCGTAAGTACATATTTCGGCTTTTGATAAACAGATGGCGCAATATTTGTAACCTAATCGCAGCGTATGTACCAGGGTTGTTGCGAATATTCGCATTCGCTTTCGCATTCGCAATAATCAATGCGGAGCTTTTGCGAATGCGAATGTTGTGCAAGTGCACCGATAAAACGTATATATGGCAAACAAAATGACAAATTGTAGCCAATATGTTTGCCTGTGGCCGTGGGGGTATTTGTGTAACAAAAGAGGTCAAATGTCATATTTATCAACTTTGACAAACATGTCTTTAAACATATTAGTGCGATTCATAAGACGTCGCAAAGTGGCATTTTTGGTGAAATGGCAATGTTGCGAACAAAGTTTTATGAACGACCTATCGCAACTCTGGACTGCAAATGTAACAGTTTTTTAAAAATGCCGCGCGTTAGAGAAAAATAAAAGTTTTTACAATTATATGTCGAAGCAGATTTAACTGATATATTTTTTCTTGAAGTATTTGAAGACAATAAAAAAACATGTGTTTCGCGTTTTTGTCTTTGCAATGATTGCCGGCTTAAATAATATGGCAACGTCGCAAGAAAGTTTCCATACAAAAGTAATCAGCTGCGTCGCAAAGTGGCAAATTTTGCGACAAATGCGACATTTGCAACAACTTGCGACGTTTCATGAATCCCTCTATTATTTCTTAAGCTATATAACCGAGCTATCAATGGGTTCCCACTTCTACTTGATCTTTGACGTACGTCAAAGAGAACATAGTCCATTAAATGATATTTTTTTCTGTGCTTTAAATACCTGCCTCGCTTTCTTTCTTTAAGATTTTTTTGGAACAATCTTAAAAAAAACTATTACAGGCTAACCTAATATTCACGCACGCCGCCAATTTATTGTCAAAAATTTCTCATGCACATGCAACTTGTATGATATCAACCGAAATTGAACGGCGTGCGTATGAAGCTAACTTAATTTCCAATTTTTGTTCTGCGTGACATTTTGACTTGACGTTTCGCTCAATGAAATCAAATGCAAACACATGCAAGTCAATTTCGGGTGACGCAAAAAAACAAATTCGACGGCATGCGTACCAAAACGCAAGCCGCGAATATTAGGTTAGGCTGTTAGACACAAAAGAAGAAAATATGCACTGTAATTCTTAACCAAATTTTCATGACTTGCTTTTGATGTTACATATATGTATTGGTTTCAATAATTTCAAATGAGGCTCTTTGGGCAATTTATTTTTAGCAAAAATTAAAAAAAAACGATAATTTTGTTTACTTGTCGGGCAATATTTTTTTCATAGGGATATACATAGGATCCTTGGCTAAAACTTCTGTGGTAAAACTGCCGCTTCTTTCCGATTTAAAGTCAAAGAGTAAGCTCCTTAAATAGGGATTTCCAGCAGAAATGATCAGTGTCTGGCTATAAAGAAAATCGATGCTCAAATAATTAAAAAGCTATAGGTCTGATCTTTAATTATATAAGAATTACGTAACTATTTGATATTCAGATGCTTATAAAAAACGGGGTGCAATATTCTGATCCGATTCGGCTGGCAGCCACGACTTTGAAAACAGAATTTTGTTAAAAATTTCCATTCCTGGAAAATAATAATTTATTTTCCATATCCACCTATTTAGCTCGCTATAAGCACACATTTTTAAACCCAGTCGCAGACAAAGTATTAAAAATGAATTACAAAAACTAAAATCGAAAAACGCTGATGAAGTTACAGATTCCCCAAATTTTGAAATAGCCAAAGGAATGAGAATGACGAATTATTTTTAAAAAGCTTTAGAGAAACCTGACACATCTGGTTTGGCTTGTAAGTACTGTTTAAACAAGGATCTCGCCATTAAGCTAGTTTCTAATTGTTTCTTAAAAATACCTGACATCCGCATTCGCATCCGCATCCGCGGATGTTAGCTGTAAGATATTCGCATCCGCATTCGCATCCGCGGATGTCTGAAATTCCACATTCGCAACATCCCTAGTATGAACACATGTATGCTTAATACGCGAAAACTTTTTGAACAACACTTAGAAAAAGACCAATCCAAGAATAAAAGTAAAGGTGAGTACGTACATAGATAAAGAAAAGGATAAAGGCAAAGGTAAAAATAAAAACAAAAACAAAGTTGCGTAAAGATAAAGGCAAAAATGAAGACCAAGGTAAATTTAAGCACTTTACTTATATAAGGGCAACGGTGAAGGGGAATATGTATATGAAGAATAAGATAAACTTACAAATAAAAACAATGATAAATATAAAGAAAAGGATAAGGATGAGGATACCGATAAAAGTATAGATGAAGATAGAGGAAGGAAGATTAAAATAAAGGTAGTTTTAGAGAAAAGGATATAGATAGAGGCGCAAAGACTCAATTTGGGAACTATTTCGGGATTTTAGAGATGTTCGGAATAATCGATATTTTGTCGGTTTTGTGATCGATATTTTTATCGAAGCTTTTATCGATAATGTTATAGATTTTGCTATTGATATTTTCGGAACTTATCGATATTTTTATCGATTTTGTTATCGATATTTTGTATCGATTTTGTTATCGATATTTTTTATCGATATTTTTATTGATTTTGTTGTCGATTTTGTAATCGATTTTGTTATCGACTTTGTTATCGGTTTTATTATCGATTTTGTTATCGATATTTTTATCTATTTCGTTATCGATATTTTTAGCAGTTTTGTTATCGATGTTATTATCGATTTTGTTATCGATTTGGCTATCGATTTTGTTATCGATATTTTTTATAGATTTTGTTGTCGATATTTTAATTGATTTTGTCATCGATATTTTTATCGGTTTTGTTATAGATATTTTTATTGATTGTCTTAACGATATTGCTATCGATATTATTTTCGCTTTTGTTATCGATATTTTTATCGATTTTGTTATCGATATTGTTTCTGATTTTGCTATCGATATTTTCGGAACTTATGGATATAATGATCTATATTTTTATCGATTTGCTTATCGATATTTATTATCGATTTTGTTATCGGCTGTTTTATCGATTTGGTTAGCGATGTTTTGTCGATTTTTTATCGATTTTGCTATAGATTTTGCTATCGATATTGTTATCGATTTTGTTATCGATATATTTATCGATTTTGTCATCAATATTTTTATCGGTTTTGTTACCGATATTTGTATCGATTTTGCTATCGATATTGTTATCGACATTTTTATCGGTTTTATTATCGATATTTTTATAGATTTTTCTATCGATATTGTTATTGCTTTTGTTATCGATATTTTTTTATCAATTTTGTGGTCGATATTTTAATTGATTTTGTCATCGATATTTTTATTGATTGTGTTAACGATTTTGCTATCGATATTATTTTCGCTTTTGTTTTCGATATTTTTATCGATTTTGTTATCGATATTGTTACTGATTTTGCTATCGATATTTTCGGAACTTATGGATATAATGATCGATATTTTTATCGATTTGCTTATCGATATTTATTATCGATTTTGTTATCGGTTGTTTTATCGATTTGGTTATCGATTTTTTATCGATTTTGCTATCGATATTATTATCGATTTTGTTATCGATATATTTATCGATTTTGTCATCAATATTTTTATCGGTTTTGTTACCGATATTTGTATCGATTTTGCCATCGATATTGTTATCAACATTTTTATCGGTTTTATTATCGATTTTTCTATCGATATTATTGCCTTTGTTATCGATATTTTATCGATTTTGTTGTCGACTTTGTTATCGATTTTGCAATAGATTTTTTGATGTATTTTGTAATCGATTTGGTTGTCGATTTTGTTATCGATTTTGTTATCGGTATTTTTATCGATTTTGTTATCGATTTTGCTATCGCTATTATTATCGATTTTGATATGGATATTTTCATCGATTTTTTTATCGATATTTTTATAGATTTTGCTATCGATATTATTATCGCTTTTGTTATCGATAATTTTTTCTTAGGGTGTGCTTTCGTTTTTGACTTGGATATGGTCTTAACCAGGGTTGTTGCGAATATTATTCCGAAATAAAAGTCCTTTGCGGATAATAAACAAACCGCTTGTCCAAATTAAACAAATTTGTTATCATATGAAAGAGGAATGAAATAGGTTTTAAACAGAAATAACGAACGACCTTAATTTATATTTATTTTATAATTTAATACTAACGAAATGCACACACCTGACACAAGGTTTGTTCTATGGTACTTAATTAACATTTTTTAATGAAATATTTTTAAATATGTGGCTTTTTTTTTGACATTTCAATTATAAACAATTATAAAGATATTAAAGTCCTCTTTAATTTGATACCAAACTTGTTTAATTTGGATAAGCGGTTTTTTACTATCCGGAAAGGACTTTTATTTCGGAATATTATTCGCAACAACCCTGGTCTTAACCATACCACGTATTCTACGTTTAAATTTAGCGGCTGTATCGCCGATACAGCCTGCAGACCAAGACTATGGCGCTGGACTGTTCCTTTTTTTAAGTTGAGCATTTATTGACGTAAAGTTATTTTTACACTTTTCGCAACTTTAATAAACACAACGAATTTTATAAATATAAGTGCTGAAAAAGTTTCAAAACCAAAATAAGATGCATATATTTTATATGTATTTATGTATGCATATACATACTTATATAAACTAGACAATGAACTAAAAATACTTTATAGTAAAAGTAGACTTTTTCTAAAACAAAATTTGTAACAGCGATTTGTTAATACAGTTTCCTTCTTTGAGACCTAGATCATGGATACACAGTCTTGTCCCTAAATTTCATATGACAACATTCCGCCATATTGGATTTTAGGCTTTATTTTCGTTTTTTTGGCAATCTCTTTCAGATTTCAATTTCAATTTGCAAGCTTATTTTGCATTTTTCGTAAAAAATTGGTTTATACAAATTTGTAGAGAATATAATTTCCCACATTTCTTAAGGAGAAGGTTTAAAAAAAAAAAACTCTTTTTATTGTAATAACAAAACTACGAAAAAAATTTACATTGTCATGGTTTTCGCCCTTTTTGAATTTTTAAAAGGCCACACTGTTTTTATTCAGGGGCGTCTATTTGGTCATTTTAAGACCTTAATCTTTGTAATCCGTTCTATAGAATTTTGGCCATCGTACTTTACCGGTTGACGTGATGTTGAAATGAATTTTACGCCGTTTCCCTTACATCGTTGTACTTGGCAAAAAAATGTTCGTATAAAATTTGAGGAGAATGAAATTCTCTACAACTTTGGAGTTTCAGTATGCTACGTTTTTTCAACAGAAATTGTTGAAAAATGGCTAAAACCGTGACAATGTATAGTTTTTTCGCAGTTTTTGCTAATTATTTACAATAAAACGTTTTTTTTTTTAAATCTTCTATATAAGAACTGTTGGAAATTAAATTCTCTACAAATTTGTATTAAACCATTGTTTTTACGAAAAATGCAAAATAAGCTTGCAAATCACAAAAAAAACCCCAAAAAACCGAAAATCCAAAATGGCGGATTGTTGCCAAATGAAATTTAGGAGCAAGACTGTGGATCCATGATCTACGTGTCAAATAGAAGTAAACTGCATCAAAAAATCGCTGTAAATTTTTTTTTCGTACCAAATTTATCAAATTTGTGAAATAAAAACAGCAGAAACAGCAATTGTAAAAACTTTAAAAATTGGGGAAATCTTTTAAGACGGAGACATTTTGTGTACTGGCATATTGTTGCCGCCACAAAGCAGCTGTACTGCCAAGTGCGGTTTCTATACATTCGTTAATAATAATATGTGCAAATATCAGTAAATAGTTATTCATAACAAAACTAACGGTTTAAATGACTAATTTACTTGCTAGAATCGAGAAAATCAGGAAATTTTTAGTGCAACTCGCAAAAAATCTACTTTTTATTAAGGTATAACTTCCTGAGCGGCCACACCTAAAGCTTGGGGGTCTCAGACGTTTACTAAACAAATGTGTTACTTACAAAATGCGAGAAAAAAGGTTGCTCACAACTGTAACTGAATTTCACGTATTTTATAAAAAGCGTGAATTTTCTTGTGGTAGTCGTTGAGCGGTACTCATTTTTCATTTGTGGGTATACTGAAATACTTTTTTACTTCTGCATAAGGGGAATCCAAGGTTAAACGACAATGTGCTACTTATCATTGCTGAAATATCTTCTTGAGAAAACGCGTGATGAGTGCGTAATTTTTTACTTAATAATGGGTTTTCATTGAACACAACCAATCAAACGCAAAAAAGTTCATAAGGCCTGGTGTAATATTTTATGTTTGTGCATTTGGGTCTGTGTAAAAAATCCTTACCCTTCACTATTCAACCTATCACTATGAAATTTCGCACAGTGGTGTCATTTAGCCCAACTTAAATTATAGGATAGTTCTTATCTCAATTAGCCAAAGGGGCGTTGCACCTCCCATACAAAAGGAATTTTTCATGCTGCATACCTTTGGAAGTATTTGTGGTAGGGTACTGGAGATAAATGAAATCAACACTATACTCGTGGAAAAAATGTGGGCTCTTGGAAAGGGGCCCGTGGCACCTCCAATACAGACTGCATTTTTTATATTACCACCTGTAAAAAAATTAACTTGAATTCAAAGTATTTTATAAGTTAAAGGAATGATTACAAAATGTATGTCGATCAAGTCGTTGTATCCCAGAAATGGTGATTCTTAGGAACAAAACTGTCGTAACGGTTTTTGGACATAATTGCATAATCTGCACTTTTGTCTAACCTATTTTTATGATAAACCTTACCGTTTAGCTGAAAAATGGTAACAATCAATTTATGTGACGTTTGACCTTGAATTATTTTTTTTACAGACCTGAGATCGATCAGTACTGTTCAAATTTCATTTATAACGTTCGTAAAACTCGTACCAGTTTTCAGGTTTATGTGAGTTACTGCAACCTTGAAAATCTAACTTGACGGGCTAGTAAGAAACAATTTTAAAGATATGGTTTAAATAGAGTAGCAATTAAAAAAACATTAGTTACACGGGTTACAATGTACTTCTATTAAGTTGATAAGTGATAATTTATGAAAAAAAAATTGTGCTAC